GTTACTTCTTATTTCATTGTGGTACTTGAACCAGTGGATACTGACTACCTAAGTTAATTATCTGGTTACACGGTATATTCTCCTGGAATGAGAAAATCATATCCATCTTCATACTGGCCTCAGAAACTGGATTAATTCAGAGGATCCCAAATTCATTTCTCATTGCCCTAAATAACTCTGTGTGTGTGTGTTTTAATAAATAGAGATTTAGCTATCCTGACAAATTTTATATGCAGAAAACATAGATGTTGTTTGACAAAAACATAAATGACAAATACTGTCCCTTCCTCATTCTGGCCTATGTAACCATTTTGCTGTGATTGGCATGATAAGAAATTTTAAGACCCCAATCCACTAAACAAGAGAAGAATCCCTAGAGTGGGGAAAAGATGAGAATGGAGGTGAAGGGGGAAAATACTAGCCAGTTTTTCTTATGATCCTGCTTCTTATTTCCCATTTTGTTGCCACAGTAGATCCAACTTAGTAAAGTAGTATGGTGATATGCCATACCATTCTTGAAATTTCTCAGAAAAATTAACTGGCTTACTCATCATCATGGCTTGTGAGTGGCAGAGAGGATTATATTGGAGTTCCTGTCATTTTTAAATCCTCTACACTAGTGTTTTTCAACTTATCAGCTACAAACCACTGGAGGATTGCAGCAAAATTTTTAAAGAATCCTCGAATCTTTGTGTACATATATATTTTTCTTGATCCGCAAATCAAAAGATACTATGATTATCACTATTATCATGCAGGAGGTCTACAAAATTGGTTGACACTTAAAAGGAGTACTCTTCTTACTAAAAATTTAAATAAATAAAAGGAAACCATGGCTCTATACTTGTGGTTTTCATATTTTGGGGTTTCACAGATCAATATCAATATCATTCATTATATGTTTTAGAGCTTAAAATTACAGTCTTCAAAATACATGAATTTAGTTTTATGGAAAACTCACTTCATGATTCCTCCCTTCAAAATCAGTGAAAATGTTATGGGCAAGGACTGGTGTAAAAAATGGCATTTGGAAACCTTCTTTCTCACCTTGTAATGCAAAAGAAGGCATGAAGAATGCAAAAGACTCTGTAAATTGTTGCGATAGGTTTTCAGAAAGGAAACATACATATGAGGATCATTTATCCTTCTCTGGGCTGATTTACCTGGCATCACTTGGTGATTACAGCCACCAGCTGACAAAGTTTCAACTCTGAGAATTGCCACTTCAAAGATTAGTGATGGAAATGGTATCTCACAAGTAATTCACTTTCTTTCTAAGTTAGAAATGATTCATCATTATGGGGTATGGAAGACAGAAGAAAAGAGCTCATGTATATTTTTTCCCATTCTTTTTAATCTCTTGTCTGCATGGGTTAACCAAGGAGTATAATTACCTTAGATAGTTAAAAACAAAAACAAAAACAAAAACAAAAACAAAACAAAAAACAACCTGGGCTAAGAAAAAAATGTGGCAAATATTGACAGATCAGCTGATTCATTCATTCAGTAAACTTTGGCACAATGCCTACTATGTGCCAGACACTGTGCAAAGGATTCAGTGATTAAAACCAACATCAGCAAAAACAATCCCTACTATGAAAACACACAGGAAATGTACTAAATCTAGAGTAACAGTTAAGGGATACATGACTTCCCAAAAGAGATAACATCTGAGCTAAGTCTAGAAAACTTAAAGAGGGATGAAGCAAAACACTTGTCAGCAGAGTGAACTGCATGTGCAAAGCTTCTTGACCATCTCTTTTCTCATCTCAAAAATGGTGGATCTTCATATACATCCACCATCTTGAGAGTTAGGAGGGTTCTTTATTACCTGTCAGGAGGAATGGTTGCCCTGCTGTGTCACCTTGTAAGGTCTTTTCTTCTCAGTTAAATGAGTAACATAAAGAAGGACAGGACAACCAGGATGGTCGTGCTGCCAAATATTCTCATACATGTGGCCAGGCAAAGGGCCAATGCTAATCACAGCCTCCAGCACCTGCATATCCTCAGCTGGGGGGCTCAGTTCTCAAAGAAAAATTCACATAAGGCCTGTCAGCACCTTGCTGTCTGCCTCAGGACAAGGCTATCTAGGAACTTGCCTGAATGTTTCCCACATGCTACAAATCCTGCTTCTTAACATTTACATAGTTTTCTGATACTGTAGTCCCAAACTGTAGCACAAAAGAAATCCTTTACAACCTATACTAGGAGGTAGGCTGAAATTCAAACTCTTCCCAAAGTTAAAAGGAGGCACCTGTGTGATGCTCAGAGACATATGTGAGGAGGATTTCTTAAACAAAGGCTACCTTAAAGGCAACCTGTGTAGTTGCAAAGGATACCCATGCACAGAAGAGTCCCCATGCTTAATTCAATGCTCTGTGGTCACCTTCTTGAATTATGATACTTTTTTAACATGGAAGAATTCATACATTTTCATCTTGCACTGGGATCCACAAATTATGTGGCGAGTCCTGACTACTTTCCCCACCAAAGGGGAAATAGGGAGCCCAGTCAAGCACCTGGAGTCCTATAAGAGCACTTGAAATGGAAGAGTAGGTTATAAAACAGAGAAAAATAAGAGTACAATTTTATAGTTTGTAAGGAAATCTAACATTGTTTGCTAACCTAGAAGCCCATAATTTTAATTTATCAAGCCATTATATGGTTTGTTACTCGGAAACACCCACTTTATTTTATTGCCTTATGGACCTTATGCAGCCCCTTTCTGTTTCTGTAGTCTGGAAGAGTGGCCCTAAAGACATACAATTAAATACCCCCAAAAGACACACAATTCACAGAACTACATAAAAATGTACTACATAGTGTCAAAGCAACAGTCTGAAACAACTTTCTTTGTACTGATTTCTACTCTATGTCCCAAATGACAAGAGGTCACTCTCATCTTGATTTGTCTTTCCCTTTACCTCAACTCACCATTTAGTTCTTCTCAACCACAACCGTAGTTCTCCCTGTGGTCATGTTAGTATTAGTCTTTCTTGGCAAATATCTTTTCACATCACTAATATTCTGAGTCTTATCAGGACTGGCTGCATAATTTTCAGGGTTCAGTGCAAAAATAAATGTGGGTCCTTTGTTCAAAACTTAGTAAGAATTTAAAGGCAGCAATAATAAGAGCATTAAACCATGCAGAAGGCCATTCTAAGTGTGAGGTCTATGTGACCACACAGGCTGAACACCCATGAAGCCACCTCATTGGCCAAAATTGGATCATGTATCCATTCCTTAACTAACCACTGTTAAGTGGGTTGACTAGCCTTAGACTATCAACAGCTTCTCTGGAGCTGGGCATAAATTCATCTTCCCCTGAGTTGCATGGCATCTGGTGGCAAGGACTCATGACGAAAACCAGGCTTCTTTTGAGTGGAAGTGAGGATGGTACTACTGCTGAGTAGCCAACAACAATGCCTACTACATCATATGTCCATGACCAAGAAAGAGGAAGTCCTCTTCAGAAGCTCCCTTTGATGCAAACCAAATTTTTGTTCCCTAGAGCCTTAAAGATCAAATCCTACCTACTTAAATCTGCCTACCCTCAATTCCCAGGCTCACATGCACTTCAAATCTCTCCCTTGCTGCTAACCCTTTCTACAGGCATCTGCAGGGATGAAAAGATGTGATTCTTGTCCTCCTGATGATTATCATCTAAGGAACCAAGATTAACAGACCATAAAACACACAACAAAAACCTCTCAAATAATTGGAAAAATAATAGAAAAATGTTACTAATTAAAATCCACATGTTATTGCTGAGAGTTTGTGAAAGTATTGGATTTACAAATGCTGGATGCAATCCTCAGTAGTTTAGAAGGAAATGGAATTTTAAATGCAGTAAGTGGTCAGTGTTGGGTACTATGAAATGCATTTTGGAACAGAAGACTAATATTCACAATCCATAGTGGTAGAATTGTTATACAGCAAATTTTGATAGAATGAGCCTTTTTCAAGAGTCAAACAGGTTTGTTTGCCTATAGTAGATTACAAAAATCACTTGAAAACATCAGTGGTAAAAGGAAGAAAGCCATGCAGTAGAAAGTCCTTACTAGGAAATTAGATCTAATATAAAAGGCAACAGTACAGTTTCTGAAGATATACACAAACTATGATTTTTCACACCTATGCAAAAATTGAGATCTTTGCTTCAGTTATTCTCTTCCAAACATTCACTCTTCATCTGGCCAAAATCCTGTTCAGTCCTTAAGATCAAGCTCTGGCCCTAACATTGCTAAGAAGCCTTCCTTGAACATTCCTCACTCTAGCATCTCTCAACCCAGCTGAAAGGGAATTAAGAAAGAGGATGCTCTTTCTCCATGAGCTCAGTGCTCCTCATGGCCCTGCACTGGCAGGATCTATTTAAGTGTCTCTCACTCACTGGACTATAACTCTTTGGTGCCAGAACTACCTTATTCTTCTTCATAACTTCTATGCCTTGATAACTTACCAAGTTATCTTCTATCAACATGTCATAAGTATTCAAGAATATTTATTGAAAGTGATATGATCAGAATATATATAATAATAACTTTTAATAACCTGTGTACAATGGCAAAAGAATGCTCAGAATAAAAAAAAATAATATATATAAAAACTAGATATTTTTATACTATTGATGACCTAAAGGAGGTATTAGAATATGAGAAGGCTGTCAAAGATCATGTCAAGATTCCTCTCCTTGAGATCTAGAATAACATATAATAGAGCCTCTTAATTTACTTTCAGTGGAAATGAGCAGTTACTGTAATGACAGGATTTTGTACCCAAGCTTATAAAATCTTCTCCAGTCTCGCCTTCTTCATCTGTCAGTTCCTTTATCTCAGTCTTTTTTCAGAGGTTTTGGTCCCCAGTATTTGAATGTTTACATTTACATTCTCTGAAAATCTTTGAAATATGGACTATTTTTTGAAATATGGACTATTTGTTTTTCAGTATAAGTTTAATTAGTTGTACCTGATTAGAAATTAAAAAAAACTTTAAAGACATACTTTGAATTTCAATGATCTTCTGTAAAGAAATAACAGCATTCATATTCGGTGTTTGGTGGAGAATATCTTCGGCAAGGGGTTCCAGCTGCAAGAACAGTAGATAATAATGAGCAGAATATTATGACTTTATAGTAAGTCTGACAGAAGCCAAAGGAAACCAAAACAACCAAGAAAAAAAAAAAAAAGCTTTCTCCAAGAACTAGTTAATATTTTCATTTTGCTGATAGTAGTTATAATAGTGTAGCCAGTTTTATTTTCTGTTTTGCAGCCATGTAATTGAATTCCAAGGGGCTTTTCTATTGGTCACAAAACTAATCTGTGAAGTCCCTGAAGCAGGTGCATGTCTGTGTATTATTCATTAAAAATCTGAGTTATTTGTGTCATTTTTGTAAGTTCTTCACAAACCAAATTCCATCATGTCTGTATATGCAGCTGGGCCCTGCAAATAGAACCTCAGGGAAGCTGCAGTAGACAGAAACTGAGCAGTCTATTATCCAGACTTTTGGAGTGTTTTTATAATGAACCACCTCACACTTCTGGACACTTCACAAGACAATAGAAAGCCATGAGACAGAGCTGCTCTTATTCAACGGCTATTCAATAAATGATAGAGGAAATGTTCAAAAAAGACCAAAGCTAAAATAACTGTGCATTTTTAAGGGGAAGTAACTGTGCATTTTCATTTAACTTCTACTGTATTCATAACTATGCAGATGTCCATGTGGAAGCACAGGACAAATTCCTGTCTTGCAAATCTATCATGATCTTCTGGAATTACACTGATTTTCATGGATAAGCTTAGCAAATGCTGCTTTGCAAGAAATGAAGAGGAACTTTAAATAATTTATGGAGTGTTTTGGCAGAACTAAATCTGATGATGCATCCTGGGAATACCTTGATGATGTAGCTTGGTGTACAGCAGCAGAAACTGTGGAGCCAGACCACTTGCAAACAAAATAGCTGTCTAACTATTATGACCCAGAAAGCAAGGAAAATAATAGTAACAAAGACATTAACAAAAATAGAGTTTTCTTAGAAACTTTAAAGTTAATAGTCTCAAATTCAAACTGATGGTCAATATGGCACGAAAAGTAACCGATGTCACTAGACATTGTACTGAAACATAAACTCATCTATGTCTCTTTATCTGTAGAAAAAAAACCTAAAAACTCAGGAATTCCAAGTTTCCACAGCATATGTGAGTGAATCTTCCCCCAGGGTCTCTCTGAATTGATTATTCTATACTTCAATCATGGAATCTAAAACAATAGCACCTTTCTTCCAGATGCCATAGGATAACCGACTAGCTTAGGGATATTTATACATGGGTAAATTCACTAAATGCAACTTTCAAGAGTGTTTTTCTTAGCTGCCAAAGAAAAATCTTTAAAACATCAAAAGGTTATTTGCAATACAGTTTAGAGAGAGAGAGAGAGAGAGAGAGAGAGAGAGAGAGAGAGTCAGTGAAAAGGTTCTATAGTCTCAAATTCTTAAAATTTGTTAAAATCATCTTTAAAAAAGTTGGTATTTCAGAGAGTATCTCCAAGAATATGTTATCCTAGTAACACACTCCTAACTCAGAGGAACTAGTGAATCATAGGCAAAAGGTTACTTGGAAAACTTACTCAAGATTAGGGTTGAGTTACCTTGCTTATAAATACTCTTTCCTTTCACTTCGGTCTCAGAGATTAGAGAAAAATTTTAATAGAAATCAGATAGATTTTACTAATAAAATGTGTTGAAACATCACTCAATATTCAAATACCTAAGAACAAAAGAATGAGGTGATTTCAGCATATTTAGCTCTTCAAAAGCTTTCCTGGGACATTAGAGTAAAAATGCTAAGAAATTAAAAGGTGCTGGCTACTGGAAAGAAAACTACAGGCAGATCATTAATGTAAAAACCTCACTTCTGGAACTCTCTTGCATTGAGGTTTGTGGGCTATTTTTAAGACCTGGGTTATACAGAATGTAAATATGATTCAGGGTATTGAGGATAAAAATACAAACAACCCTTAACCTCCAGTTTGGAATTGTCAGTTAGAGATGATAAAGTTGTATCTAGTTATAAAAGCAACCTAGAGAATTAAAGCAATTACACTGATAATTTAAGCTTCCCAAACCATTTCCCTGCATGTTTTAGGTGAACACCATTTAGAGGATTTAAACTTCAATAAATTGCCCCAATTTGCTTCATTTTGAGGGTATACACACAGACAGAGATGAATTCAGAAAGTCCTCAATGCAGGTTCTTTATTTTTTCTTGGGTAGCTCTGCAAGAAGGTAATAGGTAATACTCTGAATTGACAAGTAGGCAAATGGCCTTTAGAGTCTTGTTTTCATAAAATTAAAATCTTGTATAGAGGGACCACAGAATTGAGTTGTCTTTTCTAGAGTGTTTGTTGATTTAATCACTCACAATTAAAAGCCCTAAAAACATTTGAGTGAAGCAGCTATTTAAGAAATATTTATAAGTATTGGTCATTATTAGTAATCTAATAACTAACTGTAATGAAATAATATTAAATGAATAGTCCTTTTCTTACATTTGGGGCAAAAATTAAGAATATGCATTAAAGCTGTTATATATTTAGTTCAGCTGATAAGATGTATTGAGGCTAATCAATGTTAGTTATTCAAAGATAAAGACGTAATTTACGCAAATCAGAGTACTTTTGTATATAAAGCTTATGTGAAGATAAAGCAGATGCAGACATAGGAAATATCACACACCCAACATGCTACCTTTGCTGAGCAATTCCATCAAGATAATTTTAATACAACCTCTTGACACATGAAGTCCTCATCCAGCCTTATTAGATCTAAAATGTAAATGCAATCATTACTTATAGAACTCCTTTGTACATATTTTCTGACTCAGTGACAGGGAAATTTATTTTTCTATATTTTTTACACAAAGTGGCAATACCATATTGATGTAATTCAGATGTTTGCTAAGTTTCACAAATCATAATTTCTAAGCATACAGCTATTTTAAAACACCGTAAAAATTGTGGCCATCATCATGTTGCAAATAAGTAATTTTCAGATTCTTTAAAATCAGATCATTTAAATAATCAAAAGTCATTGTCAGCTAAATGCATTTATAGTAATAGGCAAGTGTATCCTTGGAGAAGCTCTTGAATAAGAGCTGTAAAACTTACTCTGTACTCATGAGACATGAAAGTCAACTTTATTATTTTCATATTAAGAACAGACCAGAAAAAAAGCTAGAGATTTTGCAAATAGGTACTGAGGGTAAATGTATACATTAACCAAGCAAAGGATCTACTGGCTATTCTCGTTAGCTTTTATGTTTCCCAAATATACCAAGTATTTTCACACTTTTATGCCTTTATTTATTCTGTATCTTCTAAATCTGATTTTTCTCTATCCTTATTTGAATTGGTGAAACCTTTCTAAATCATCCAAGACCAACACGAACATTGCCTGCTCTGTGAAATCTTTTCTAAAATTCTTTGATAGAGCAAATTGCTTCCACCTTTGTGCTTCCTTTCCATACAAATATTCTTTTTTACTCTACACATTACTGTAGTAAGCCATGTCTATGACTTTCTACTTTGTTTTGAGCCATTTAAAGGCAGACAGAGCCTGTTTATGGTGAGCATTTAAAAAACTGTTGAGTGAATGAAGGAAAGATTAATTGAAAGAAGCATGAAGAGGTTGCCTTTATTCTAGACTTCAGAGCTAACACACCTAAGTGGAACAGGTTCTTCTCTTGGTTGCCTGCTACAGTCAGGGCATGGTTTACGGTTAAAGATTAGGAAGAACAACAGTGATAATTCATTTTTAAATCAATATAATGGATTGTGATTGAAGTTTTAAATGATCTGAACTTTAATTGATTTTTAAATTGATCACTTTAAACTCAGTTATTAATTCCAGTAATATGTATTTATATATATATGTATGTATAAATAATTTTGTATAGACTTTCTACACACACAATTATATCATCTGTGAAAAATGAGAGATTTATTTCTCTCCAAACTTTTTACTTTTTTTCTTACCCTATTGCACAGTCTAGGACCACCATTAATGTTAAAATGAAGCAGTAAAAGTGAGCGTCTTTGCCTGGTTTTTGATTTCAAAAAAAAATTCCCATATTTCACACTTAGATCTGATGCATACTGTAGGATGTTTATAAATACCCTTTATCAAGTTAATAAATTTTCCTTTTATTCCCAGTTTGCCAAAAGTAGGTAACATAATTGGGTGTTTAATTTATCCACTGATTTTTAAGCATCTATTAAAATGGTCATATTTCTTCGTTATTCTCTTAATGTAGCAATTATAATTACTTATTTTGGAATTTTAAAAAAGATTTTATTTATTCATTTGAGAGAGAGAGAGAGAGAGAGAATGGGGAACATACGGATTAGGGGGGAGAGGCAGAGTGAGAGGGAAAAGCAGACCCCCCTCACTGAGCAGGGAGCCCAACAAGGGCTTGCTCCCAGGACCTGGAGATCATGACATGAGTGCAAGAAAGATGCTTAACCATCTGAGCCATCCAGGCGCAATCTTATTTTGGAATGTTAATATATTATGTTCCTGGGTTAAATACGATTTTGTTATGGGTTTTTAAGATTTTGACGAATGGCTAATATTTTGTTTAGTGTTTTAACTGCTATGCTTATGAGCATGATTTTCCTATAATATTCCTTTCTTAATAATGTTCTTTTAAGTTTTGAGGTACCATATACTCAAAAAATCATCTATGAAGAGTTCTTTCCACTCCCTCCCTCCTTTTACTCTAAAACAGTATAAATTATAGAAATCACTTATGAAGCTATATGGGTGTAGTATTTTCTCTTGGTAAATTTGGCATTCAAGATTCAATTTTGTTAATTATAGTAGCATTTAAATTTTCTATTTTTTTTTAAATTTAAATTCAATTAGCCAACATATACGACATCATTAGTTTTAGATGTAGTGTTCAATAATTCACCAGTTGCATGTAACACCCAATGTTCACCACATGCCCTCCTTAATGTCTATCTATCAATTACCCCATCTGCCCTCTCACCTCTCCTCCAGCAACACTCAGTTTGTTTCCTATAATTA